TCCTGAGGGAAAACAGCCCGTGGGTGGTTTCTCACTCGCTCAAGTCCTTGGTCTTTACTGAAATCCGTTTATTGTTCACTGTGCGGAAAATCTTGCGGCACAACACCTCCTCTCACTTCTTCACTTGTTGAGTCAGTCGGTAAAACTCTGACCTTTATTTTCTCGTCCCTATCTCGGTTGGTTATAGATCAGGGACTGTGGAAATTGTGGTTGAAAAATGGTTTCATAATCACTCCCGTACATTCTGTGATGCACACACACACACACACACACACACACACACACACACACACACACACACACACACACACACACACACACACACACACACACACACACACACACACGCACGCACGCAACATTGTGAAACAAGCATGAGCGAGGTCCTACCCGAGCATGCTTGCAGGCAGCAACTCGCGCTGGAGAGACTGCAAGAGGCGAATGTTCTGTGCACGGAGATGTGGTGGAAAGGGTGCAGTGGCAATAAGCAGAGAAATGGGGAAGGATGAGAAGGACGACAATGTGCTATCATGAAAGCAACGAAGCCGTTTCAGACACACACACATAACGAGCGCCATGTTCAGCGCATGCCTGCGCACCTTTTCCATGCATTCCCTGAGGAGGGTTGACGCGCCCTGCCTGAGGGTGAAGCACCACAGCTGGTTACCCTGCATCAACGAAAGAACGAACACAGGTTGCATAGCAGATGGAGGAAGGACAAGGTGGAGGTAAATTGGGAGACAAGGCATGGTGCGACACGAATGTGAACCCCCCCCCAACACACACGCACACACGCACGCACACACACACGCACATGCAGCAACGTAAACAGCAATGGCAACCACAACAACCCCGCCCCCGCCCCCTCCCACGCACACACATTTTCTCCCAAACGCCACGTGTGCACCAACGTCGTGATGGGCGAGCTTGACAGGTCCAAAGTACGACGAGAACGGAGCGTCCTTCATGTCGAGTGCCGTCATGTCCAGCTGTGCATAGTCGCCGACAACCAGGCGGCGGCGCTTGCGGCGCACAAAGACGATGATGAGGATGATGGCAATGATCACCACCACACCACCACCGGCAGCGCCGGCCACGGGCGCAATGGAGGCAGAGCTCTCCTGCTTGCCAATGGTGACGGGGTCGCTCGTCGACGTGGATGTGGTCACGGGCGGAGGGCGACGGCCACCGCGTGGCGTCGTCGTCGTTGCACCGCCATTGCTCGATGTCGTTGGGAACGTGTTGGACGTGGTGCTGCCGGGCGTGATCGTCGACACGCCACCAGTACCGCCAGTACCAGTGGTGGGGACCGTGGTGGTGGTGGTGGTGGTGGTGAACACCGTGGGGGTTGTTGTCGTGGTGGTGGTGGTGGTGAACACCGTGGTGGTTGTTGTCGTTGTGGACGCGATGGTTGTGGTGGCGAGGCCCGGGTCCGTGCACTCTGCGCCGTCATCCACTTCCGCGTCGTACGCGAGTGTGAACGTGGCGTCCGCGGTGAGCACCAGGGCGGAGTTGGGCTCCCACGTGAAGCTTCGCACTGTCGTGTCTTGTGTCACCGTGATGTCATACGCGCCACTGCTATCGTCACCACCATCACCACCATCGTCGTCGTCGTTGTCGTTGTTGTTGCCGTTGAGGGCAGCGCGGGCGTGCTGGTCGCTACAGGGCGGGCGGGCACCAATCCAGTTGGCCCCCGTGGACCACTCGCCAGAGGTGGGGGCAGCCCAGATGACTACAGGACAGCGGATGAGGAAGGAGGCGGGAGGAAGTATTGTGTAAGGGGAATGGTGACGGGATGGGGGAGAGGGGAAGTGGGAAAAGCCAAGTGGGACATGGACGGGAAACGGAGGTGTGAGAAGCACATACACACACATATCAAAACGCACACACAGACACAGAGACAGACAGAGGCGCAGGCACAGAGACAGGCACAGACACACACACACACACAGACGCAGATACAGACACAGACACAGACACACACACACACACAGACACACACACACACACGTATACCTGGGGCAGCACGTGGGACGGTGACGGATTTGCGGGCGACGACGCGGTCCGCGCCCGTGCCACTGGCCACTTCCAGGGTGAAGGTCGTGTTGGCGGTGTTGTCGAGCGGAATGGTGCCGGTCCAGGTTGTGCCCGCCACATCATACTCCTCATCGTCGCCATCAACGTGCACGCGCAGCTTCCCGCCGTCGTTGCTGGGCTGCCACGTGGCCTCGAAGACGGTGGCGGTGAAGTCGGAGACATCAAACTGCTCAATCACGGGGCAGGGCTCGTCGGGCGCCTGGTTGGTGATGACAATCTCCCCGCCCCTGTTCAGCGTCAGCGTTTGGTCCGGCATCAGCGTCAGCTGCGTCATGCGCGCCTGCACAGTCGGGAGAGTGGTTGGGGAAAGTGGTTGGAGTGGTGGCAAGAGGGTGTTAAGGGTGGGGTGAGGAACAGAAAGCGATCGAGTGTGTGTGTGTATGTGTGTGCGAGGGTAAGAGAGAGCGTGTGTGTGTGTGTGTGTGTGTGTGTGTGTGTGTGTGTGTGTGTGTGTGTGCGTGTGTGTGTGTGTGTGTGTGTGTGTGTGTGTGTA